GGAATGAAAGGTTTCACTAATAACTGTATACAGGCAGACTTCCAATAGTAAGAGGCTAAAATTATAAACACTTTATAAAAAAACTGTCTCTTTAAAAGTCAGGTCTTATTTCAGCAAGATTGCTGGTGGCTCCAATTTCATGTTCAGGCTTCTTTGGCATCTCATTGGAGGCTAGGGTGAAACTCCTTTCTATATATATATTTTACTCTAAGCCCCTGCTAATAAGTTATTCCAATATATTTTCTTTAATGGATTTTCATCTTCTTACAGTCTGAGTCTATAGTATTTCTCATTCCTGATTTCAACCGTTTCAATTACTAAATGTAGTTCTTAGAGTCCTTTGATCAAGAAGGGCACTCTTTATAGAGTGTGGGAGCATAAACCTTTCCTAAGCTACTGTCACAAGCCAGTTGTGTTATTCAGTAGTGCACAAAGTAGGCCATAGTTTATTCACTGTATGCTGAAACAACCAAATGTCAAACCAAAACATCAGTCCTGTACATTAAGATGAGGGAAAATTATGTCTACCATCCAAATTAGATGATAAGGATATTTGAACTTATTGCTTAAATAAATAAGACAAAATTCCACTCCAAGTTTTGCAGATTTTTGAATTTTTCCTTCCCAGATACATTCCAGTGTTTCCTTTAGCCATCACCTGTGCCTCAGCATTGCAGCACAGACATGATAAACTGTGTCAAATGAGCTGCATTCCCAAGGAACGTGGCAGACCAAGTAATAGACTACTTTATTCTAGTAGGAGTAGCAGGTCAAAAATAGCAGGTAACAGTTGTTCTCCTCAAGAACACCCCCAGCTCATCTCCAAATAAATTACTTATCCCCACTGGTGCTTATTACTGCAGTGGTGGCTGTAAGTGTCCTGTGATTTAGAATTTGCATGTGACTAAAGCATAGTTTAATCAGGTTTTCTGACTATAAAAAAATAAGAGTAATGAGTAAAAAGTCTGAAAAATACAGTAAAGAGACTGAAACATAGTGCTAAAAAAATTAAACTGTTCTGATAGGAGAAACCATATGACCTATTCAGGTAGAAATACAGGTACTAGAAGAAATAAGTGAGATGCGAGTTTTTATTTTTGTCTTAACTTACACTGTTACAGCACTTAAGGGCCTCAGTTCCTCTGTGTCTCAGGACTTCAAACAGGAGCTGATGTTTTAAAAGTATTCAAAATACTGATCATGCTGCCAATGAGCATGATTGTGTTGTTTAATTCTAATATAGTGCCTCCTTAAATTAGGCATTCTCTGTAGATAATTTTCATACATTCAGTCACACAAACATCTCGGGATTTAAAGTGTTTGTGGTTTTCCTGAATCCAGCTTTCTGTGAGAGCAGTTTTCTTGGCATTGCCCCGAGACTGGCAGCAGTGCACAGTTGCAAATGTGCTGTGTGGATGGCATCCTGGGGCAGTTTGTTCTGCCCAGTGATGTCCCTACACCTTTCCCCAGCGTGCAGGAAATCTCAGCAGAGCAGAGGCAATGGTTTCCAGTGCAGCAGAATCACAGTGGGGGAGCTGGCCCTGCGTGGCTGCACACGGTGACTGCGGGGACACAGAGCTGCAATGGGAACCCTGCTGCTCAAGCTCAGATTTTAATAAGTTTTGAAGCGCACTGAAAACTGAAATGGGTTTCTTGCTCTGTTGAAAGAATGATAGGACTTCTAGGACGGAAATGGTGAAAATTCAGCATAAGGAATGGCACAGTTGTAAGCCAGGTTGTTGATGCTGATGTTTCCACTGTTCATTGCTTTAGATACATGTTATCTGATAGAAATGGGTTGGGTTATCAGCCGGTGTACGTTGTTCTAAACATCTTCCTTAGGCATTTCAAAATATTTGAAGCAAGCTAGTTCAGTTTGAGGTGCCACAGTCTGAAAAATACATTTCTCCAATGGAAACTTCTAGCAAAAAAAACATAGCCAGACAGCTTCTTTCTCCATCTTTCCAGCTTATCTGAATCCTGAGGACATCTTACTTTTCTATCTGCATAGGAAGCAAGTATATGTCAAAAACTATTTAAATAACTGCCTGAAATCCAGATTTATGCTGACAGCCTGTGCTTCCTGCTTGGTGTGATGTGATTGGAAATTGTTATGCTTAAGTAACACAGGTTATGATAAGACAAGGACACTACTGACTAAAAGCACTGCTAGCAGATACCTAAAACACCTGCTCATTTTAATGTGAAAGTGTGTGAGCCCTGAGGTTTCTGAATGTTGCAATTTTTATTAAATATTTGCAAATGTCAGCCACATCACATCAAGGAATATTAGCTAAAATTCAATGCAATAGAAATTATTTTGTATACAGGACATTCATAGTCATATGGGATATTAAATCCACTCTTGATTTTTCTCCTTAACTGTACAAACAGAAGCCCTAAAATCCAGAAAGGTCTTGTGCCATCGAGGCACTGGGCACATATTGCCTTGACCATTGTAAAACAGGATTTCTCCTGCTGCTGCAGTCTCATTTTGGGTTTCTAGGGGGTTGCTGTGTCCCTGCTCATACAGCAGTTTTCCTGTATGCTTTCTATGAGCTGACATTCTCCAGGTTGGGAGCACACTGAGCACCTTAAATTAGCACATGGGCCTGTTGCAGCCCAGTATTCCTGCTATGTACCAAGAGGATTTTGTTTGCTGGTTTTCAGTTGCATGCCTTAGAAGGGTAACTAAGCTCTCCTGCAACTCTATGTTCAAAAGGGGATTTTTTGGGGGGCTTATTTACCTTTCTTTGCCTCTAGCATAGCTTTTATATTTAAATCCCAATAAACTTGCTTGATATAAAAGGTGTATAGTACAGACATATCTTCTGAAGTGTAGGAAATAGAAAAGCAGATTTTTTTTAAAGTTGAAAGGCAGTTTGTAAAATTTTAAAATATCAAAACCAGAATAAGATAGCTGAAATCATGCAAGTAGAATGAGGAACCAGACTGTTGTATCAGCAGAAGAAAAACATTAGGTTAATCTGTATTACAACATTCTGAAAGAATACAGAGCTTTGAAAACAGCTTTCACTAGGGGGTGGGACATTTTACTTTTATGTAGAGCTTTTGTTCATTTAGAATTGTTTACTCCAGCAAGCAACCCTGTGCTCTTTGTTTAACTGATTTTTCCCATTTGGCAGACCCTTTGCAATCACATGGATAACATTCTTCTTTCCACTGAGACATAGAGAAACTATTCTTTATTGACCTTGCTTGCTGTCCTAAGTGACAAAAATATATTTATATGCTAGGTGAACTGAATGACTTCATCACTGACTTTTAATTGAAAATTCTTCAAAGCAAAAACCTCAAAGAGCTGCTTTCAATTTTTTTAAACAATCCAGTGGCTTCTTACTAGCAAACAGCTCTGCCCTCAGCTACACATGCACAACTCCCACAGCTGGCACAAAGATCTGTGTGCAAGTATCTGAGTGCTGAAGCTATGTCAAAACATGAAAAATAAATGCCATGCAAAGAAGAAATACACATTTTGGGTCAGGCAGGGGATTTTTATTTATTTATTGAACAACAGAGTATTTTCTGTAGAAGTATGGATGTTTTCTTTTTTGTTTCTGTGCCTGTTAATTTTTTTTTTTTTGTATGGTTGCAGTGGGAAGCAAATCAGAAGAGCTGGACTAACGCACACAAATCCTTCAACATCTCAGTTTTAGTTTCCTCACTAAAATTGCAAAGCTCAGAGCTCATGGACTTTGTGATACCGATTTAGAAACGCGTTTAGCATTAAAGTTTTACATGTGAGGTATTGTAAATCAAAGGCAGGTTATGTAAGGACCCAGCATGCCAAGACAAAATTCAATCTTAGTCTAAGCACAATTCTGTTAAAACAGATGGAATGGGGCACATCTAGCCAAAAATGTTGAATCTGTGTTTATCCTGTGTTCCTGAATGCTCACTTAAAACCTTTTCTGACAGGAACAAAGTCTGGTGAAATTAAATGTGGTTCTACCCACATGTAGGCAAGTGTTAAATCTTCATTTATCATAAACTGGACTTCTCTGACTCCTGCAGAGCTACAACAATTTACACAAATCCAGGCTCCGTTCAGAACGGTCTAATTTGCAGAAACACTGTGCCCCTGCTATTCCAATGGAAGGCAATGAGAGCTGGGGTTGCTCTGCATTTCTGCAGGGGAGAAAAGTCAAAGGCCCTTTTGTTACCATTTAGCACATGTGCTGAGAAAGTGTAGAATTAAGATCCCAGTGTCAGCATTTTCAGCAATCTTATGCAGGCTACTTACTTATATCAGGTCCAAGCACAGTAAAAATCAGATTGGGCTCCTTGCTAAGGAACCCTTATTATTTTTTAATTTAGCCCTGTCAAGAACAGTCCTATTTATGCCTTTATAATTTCACAATTAGAGAAGATAGTAGCAGAACTAGAAATAATTCCATGTAAGTCAAAGGTGTAGTTGTTTTGACTAATAAAACATGGGTGGTCTCTAGTATTTGCTGTGGTTCCACAGGGATTTCTTCCTTCACTTGCACAGACTTTGTCTTCACTGTTACACCAGTACCCACCCCTTGGGTTTTTTTCTTGGTTGGTGATGATTGTTCTTGCACCAGATCTGGAAAATCAAACCATTTGAAGAAAAAACTCTCATTCTGCACTCTTCAAACCCAGCTGAATTCTTCTGTCCCCTTCTTTTCACAAGCACAAGCAATTGAACCAGAACAGGAAACTGCTGAGCCAACAGGGGGAAAAAAATATCCCTTTTGTGTTAAGAGTTTGGCTGCTGAGCTCCTTGAGTGGCTCACCATGGGTTTGAGAGGTGCCAGAGCTGAGGGTAAGTGTGGGAATGTGGCCAAAGGTGCAGGAATGTGCTTTAGGAGCCCTTTCCTTCAGTTTAGCTTTGCTTACATTGAGGAACTGCACCAAGGGGCAATCCTGCCTGTAGCAATGGAAAAAAATCTGTGTGGATCTCACTGCAATGGAAAAAAATCTGTGTGGATTTTAAAACCAAGTGGACACAAACATTGTAAGTAAATAGTAAAGCCTTTATTCTCGTTAAGAACAGCATTTTGAAAATAAAACATTTGCCCATGCTTTACAACCTTTGTAGTTTTGTATACTTATGTACAGTCATCATGGTACACATTGATTGTCTTGAAAATCCTTTAAAGATGTCCTTAATAAGATACCAGTATGCAACAATCAGCGGAAAAAAGGGTACGTTATAAAATACACATTAATACATTTAATAAATATATATTATCTATCAAAAATGAGCTTTAGCTCTCATCAATTAATAAAAAGCACCTGCTTTGTAATCCTGTAAGTTGGTAGAATAATCCAATTGTTTTATTATAAAAGCTACAATGCTCCCTTTTGTATGGCCTTTGGTTAGACCCAAGGCATCGAGCTCAAACAAAGCCAACCAAGATGCCTGTGTTTAGACTAAAAGCAGAAACAGCTAATTCTATAGTATTTCATGTACCTTGTTTATAGAAACAGCTGGATGTGTTGAGAGTGTTCTTCTGAAGATGCTACATATTTTCTGGCAAGTATCAAACACCCTCAACCCATCTGAAAGCAGGACACGATCTGTAGGACTTGGAACTCTTTTCCTGCCACTGATCAAAAGCTGGTCATTTTAAATCTTGTTTTGCTAACATGCTTTTGTCAGATGCTTTTTGATTTCCTTTTTCTGCATGGAAACACCATGAGCACATAACCATCAAGGGACAACATAGTAGCTTTTATAGTATAAAAGCTAATTATAATCAGGAGAACTGTGAAAGGCTTGTGCTTAGTTACTTATTCATGTTGTTCACAGATGCTCTACATTCTAGAAAACTTTCAAAAAAGGCAAAAGTAAATACTGTAACAAAAATATAAGTTAACATAAAGGTGCCTTTCTTCAATTACAGTTTTATTTTGGAGCATTTTACATCACAGACTAGTGACTTACAAAAAAAAGTTGCTCATTACTAATTGTATAAAGTTGGAAAATAAAGACCCTCCTAAATCTATTGCCACACTTTCACCACCACACTTTGAACCCAATCCTACTAATTTTTAATTCAGTGAATAGTCCACATGACTAACCCAGCGAGACTAGTCATGTGAATTGCAGTTTGTAAGATCTGGCCATATCTTTGCATAAGCCCTGAAATTCCAAAGAACTTCATCAAAAGCAGGATTGGGAATTCTATTTATCAATTCAGTCACATCTAGAAAAAGAAAAAGAAAGTTTCTTACGATAACAATGTCCTGTATAGATTTTGTCAAAGGTCTGTAAAATGTGTATTATAATTCATAAGTCTTGGTTGTAGCATGATAAACTTTTTAAAAGAAACCTGTCCTACCATTTATGCCATGGTCATCTTATATGTTTTTATGGTAAGAGTTTTATGAGGGTTTTTTTTCTAACTGATTTTAAAAAGCAAAATTCTGCAGGCAAGTGGTGGTAATAGTTTTTTTATTGTTCCAAATTACGTGTCTTCTGGGCGGCTATCATTATCTTAAATACCTTATTTGATCAAAGCTCTGCTCATAACAAGCAAAATGTATTTCTAAGTCACTGGATAGCATGCAATATCCACCCCTACCCTACTTGCTTACTAAGGCCATCTAGTTACATACAAAATGAAATAAAGGATCCCTAAAACAAGCACATGCTTCCTTTGCCTCGAGGAGGGGAGGGCAGGGGGGAGCTGACATGACTCCTTCACTCATGCATGACAGAAAAACATTGCTTCTGGAGGAGAAGGGCTTTGAAATAAAACCCCATAAGATGATCATGGCAAGAATGGCAATAGATATTTTTCCATATATATATATATACATATATCTGTGTGCAACACTTAGGGACTGGTCTTGCAGCCTCTGTACCTTATGAAGACCTACTGGTGTCGATGGGACTAATCGTGGGAGTACAGGTCTGCAGGACTAGGCTCCTAATTCAGTAGAAATGGAGGTACATGAGGGATCAGGAAGACTCTTGAAAAATAAAAAGCTTGTCTTTCTTCTGCAGTATACAGCAAGTAACTTCTCTCTGTGAAGCTACTAAGCTATTCAGTTATTTGTACTTTTTTTTTTAGTTTGAAAATATATATTTTTATTACAGCATATGCAAAGTTTAATTGTTATACGTTTCCTATGCCTTCAAGTAAAAACAATTAGCTTTTAGTATTGAGGAAAGCTAAGATTAACATTGGCCAAACAGTGAGGATACAGTGATGTTTTCAATGTCCGATATGTATTAAATGTTAAAGAAAGGAATGATTGCTTGAACATAATGAAAAACCGTGGCACAACAAATGGGCAATGGGAACCGTTTAAATAACCTGGAAAAAACGAAGATGAAAAGCTTTGAAAAGTCTGCCTTGTATCAACTCAAGAAAATGGATGGGGAGGGGAAGACTAGGGAAGAAACCACCTTAAATAAACAAAAACAACAACAAACCACCTCCAGCACAGAGATTCTACTCTCTAGGCACTAAATGCACAACCACATGTAAATGCACGAACAACTGCAGTCGAGGGGAGCGGCCCGCTCGTACGAACGGGGCTCGGGGTCTCACCCCTGCGCTGCCAGCCCTGCCTGACCCCAGCCCGGCGCAGCGCCTTCCTCCCCTCCTCGGCTGCTGCCAGCCCTGGCCAGAACATCCCCCGGGCGGGCCTGGGGCTCGCAGCCGGCCCGGGGCTGCGTGCCGGGTCCATCCCCGGGCCGGGGAGCCGCGGGGCGCTCCGCAGGGAGCGCGGAGAGCGCCCGCACAGCGCGGACCGCGCCTGCCGCAGCGGCGTGGGGCTGCTCACAACTGCGCGGGGCTCCTCATGGCGAAACACGACGGGAAAAGGAGAGAAACGGAGAGAAACCCCGCGTGTTTTCACACTGTAGTGGCAATCTCTTGTGGCAACATGAATTAACTTTAGGTGAGAGGAAGGTATTTTGCAAGCAACTGGCAACCACCTAAACCAGGCTTGCCTGGCACACAAGTTACAGACAGGAGAATATCTCACACTTCAGAATACAATATCCCCTCTGCCAATTTAAGGTGTGCCTACTTCTGTTTTAAATTAGATTCAGCTTCGGTTTTACAGTTTTGCTTTTGCAATTCTCCAGTCAACGGTGTTCACATTTAGGCAAAATCCTCAGTAGGACTTAGAAAGATCCTGGATGTTTTGTTGCTTTGTTCTGGTACTGTTATGGATTCCTTCCCTCAAAGACACACTGCCAGGGAACAACATCTGCAACAGGGATTCTTACTCTCTACAGCCTACAGCCTTTCACCAGAGGTGTCGTCCAGTGTAACTTGGCGGAGCAGTTGGTATCTGGAAATAAGGATAATAAACCCATAACTGAGAGATCTAGACTGTTCAAAAATCAGTGTTATCACGCTACATGTACACGACAGCTTTCCAGATGGTAGTTCTAGAGCAAAGTGATACAAAGAAACTCATCTTCCACCCATACAGTGCATTTTTCTCTCTGTAAAACCATGACTATATATACACATGAGCTTTGTATCCAGCTCAGAATAAAGCAATACAAACAAAACAAATTCTCAAGCTTCTCATCCTTTAACTGCCTTCTCCCTGAGCTGCACATTCTGGCAGAGATGAATTGAAACATCAGAAAGATGCAATCCATTACTGACAGCAAAGCCAAGCCTTTTCATTTTACTCAAGTTGACATGTTTCACACAGTCTTACCCACGGAGAATTCTTGTATCTAATCCCTCTTGTCCACTAAAATCAACCAAAACTTTACTTACTTAAGAACAAAACCAAACCTCCGATCAGTTCATTTTAAACTGGTTTTAAATGTAGAGGTTGAGTTATGGAATCAGCTCATGATTCAAAAGAAAGAAAGCTCAACTCACATGAGTACAAACTAGCTCATGAGTAGATTTTTAAGAAGCATGTAAATATGCATGGAAAATGTGGGGATGAAAATTTTTCTTTTTCAACACTATGCCTTCTATATGAAATGTCTTAGGTGAAAATTAGACATAATGTGAAAAACATTTGTAAAGTCCGTTTGGCATCACTATATAACTCTTACAACAACCAGGCTGCAAAATACAGGTCTATCAACAATATGCCAAACTATTGTCCAAGGAAGAAAAATTGATGCTATTAACATGAAAATATTGTATATTCCTCTTTTATGAATCCCTTTTCAAAATATGTACAAATCTGTAAGTTACAAAGAATTACATGTATTTTACAAGAAAATTGAATATATGTGAGAGACAACCATTATCTACAATTATTTAAAGTAATGTACTCTCTGTGTAACTCACACCATCTTGAAAAAAATCAGGTTAGAAATGGTGTCACTTAATAGTTATCTTAAATACCTTAACACAAATTTAATTTGAAAGGGTCATTGAATATGTTGACTTACAAAAAAACTTGGTTCACTGAAGCTGCACTGCTAAATGTGAATAGCCAAGTAAACATATGCAAAATACTTGTTAACTACATATTTTCTAGAGGGAAGGGAAACATTACGTGCATACTTGCTGCCTTAAGTTTTCATTTATAGCTTTCCCCCTACTGTAAATAAGCTAAAGCAGGTTTTTCAATTAGCAATGGTTGTATATATCAGTGCATTTCAAAGATTCCTTAAATCATCACATTTTGATACTTACAGTCCCACCATTTAGCACAACTGCCATCTCAGTTGGCTGATAAACATTGCTTCTAAAAGGAGCACTAGGCCGGCTTCCCAAACTGCCGTTCCGAAATCCTGCTGTTCTTAGCGCTGTTTGGAAAAGAGAGATCACTCTTAGAACACAATTCAAGCTGTGCAATCACAGTCTTTTCCCTCCAGTTTAGTTATTGGGAACTTGGCCACTGATTTTAACTTCCATGTTGCTTTTGAATAGCTGTTTCCCTTGCATGTTGGGAATGGATCTCAGAAAAATGAGATTTATATTAAATGAATTGTTTCTAAGGAGGGGGGAAAACGGAACCAAATTTTTGAAGCTTGCTTAATCTCATTTCAGTGGGAGCTCAGTGTCTTTAGTCACCAAACCTGTGATGTATCTTGCACAATTTGTTTTGCAAAGTGCTCCCTGAGTTAGTCTGGATATTGTGGGGTTAAGTAATGTGTTAGACTTTGCTTTCTATCAAACTCAGTGGAAAGGGATCCAAAGCCTTGCTCAAGCCAGTAAGCAATGCTCACAACCCCCTGAGCATTACTTCAGCATGGCTAGAATATAAGGGTTTTCCAGATGTTTCAGATTATATTTACTCTGAGAAACTAGAAAGATGGAGTAAATATTGCTTTTGAATAGCTTAAACATGGCAAATCACTGAAGCCAAAGAGAAGATACTGAGTGTCCTTTTGAATGTTTATACCAGGAATTAAACAGTCTCCCCATTAATTTTAGTACAAGTTTGGGTTCAAGATGTAAATTCTGAATGAGCTATGCATAATGAGGGACACGCTGCTCTCTCTAAAGCAGTCTGAGGATTGGCACATACAAACTCCCTCTTTAATTTTGAGGGTAAATAATGACTTCAGCGAACTCGGACGTGGCCAGGGAACAGAGCTCATTTATCCACACAATGTGCGCGGTCACAACGGGCAAAACTCATCTGTCAGCTGCTGAACAGAAACATGCCCAGTTCAGGCACCTGGGGCAAGAACTTCTCTTAGATTTAATTCAAATTACAATTCTACAGTCTCTGGCTGAAATCATGAATGAGCTCAAATTTATGAGAATTTCAGCAGAGACTTTAATGAAGCCAGGATTTATCTCCAATGTAGTTGCTCTGTGTAGAAGATTTAAATGGATCCTAGTGCCATATGCTGTCCTCTATGCACTGCTACTTCTCTCTTGGGGAGTTGTGCACCAAGATGAAGCACAGTACTGATTTAGCATGGAAATTTAGAAATTCCACCCTGCAAATGCTCAGCTGTTGACATCAGATACATATAGACCCTCACTTGCTCTCTATTTGGAAATTACGTATTTTTGCAGAACACTGGGAGAAAAAATTTTGAAAATGCCTAAACTGGAACTAAATATTTTTTATTAGATATTTAACCATCTCAAGGTCATTAACTTTTTTTTTTGCTATTTGACTGCTTCTTTTGTGATAAACACACATGATTGCACTGGTATTTGCTAGTACACACAGACACAAAAAAAACCTGTATCATGCACACCATCATGAAAATATTTATACAGGATATTTACACAAAATATATGTGATCATTTCAAAGCTATCTTAAAGAGCCAGTAAATTCAATTTCATATTGCTAAATTTTCCCTATTACTGCAAACAGCTACACTTTTTTGACGTGAGAATCTGTGACAAAGCTTGTAGACAAAATACTCATTTTGGATTCTTTTTCTCACACCAGTTTTACTATTTTTCCTTGTACTTTTTACATTACTAATTAACAAATCCACTTGCATAGGGTATGTATAGGTAAAAAAACAAGCAGTACTGAGGATATTTGATATTGTCAATGCCTCTTTTTAACACTTTTGAAATTTTGTTCATTTTGCTTTTAGGCATTGGCTGTGACGATGACTGGTAGTACTAAAAGTTATTAAATGAAATTTAATGATACCAGAGCTACTTGGGCTTGGGTTTCCTGACAGCTGTAGCATTCTACATTTCACATCCAGATTTCTCTTGTTTAAGGCAAATTCTCTCTGCCTACAGAGGCTGCCCTACTAGTGTGCACTGCACTTCCAGAGGGCACTGAGAACTCAGTCAACTGCTCTTCGTCCTGGCTTCCTAAATACTTTAAGTTTAGAAGGCACACCTATGAAAATAACTCTTTAAAGAGATATTTCAACCTATCATATCCCAGATTAGTATGCTCTTTAAATGGTGTTTAAGTTAGTGACTTTAAAATAGGTTTGCTTTATTAATGCTTAATGTTGTCCCTGGAATAGAGCAGCTCTTGTTGCAATGCACACCTTGAAGGTACATTTTTGCTAAGAAAGAAGGAATCAAGGAGGAAATATGCTTGTTTGAGCCTGAATGCTGTTCAGATTCTTGAAATGCTGCTTAAAATCTTTAAAAGGAGCAAAGTTATGAAATTGTTATATACAAGTATTAGTGGAAATAAGAAGAATTAATGGAAAATATGTTTGTCCAGGCATATTTTCTACTTTAACTATTTACTGAAACAAGTATTACAGTTTTCTGCTTATCATGTCTTCCAAACTTTACAACTAGTAGATCTTCCATTCGTAAACATCATTCTTAAGTATGAAGTAGTTGAAGAAAGTACCCTTCCAATAATTTCTAAACTCTTGATGATGAATTCTCAAACTGAGTCTGATTAAATGGATGAAAGAAGAGAACATTCTCTTCATACCTGCAGAGCCAATTGCTCACAGGCTCCAGGTGCTTTGCTACTGACAACCATCAGCATGGGGATCTGACTTAATGACTTGGTTATTATTAAAGTATTTATTTTAAGTCTCTACCATGCTACTAAGGTTTGTCTCCAAACGCTGCTGTCCCAAGCCAGTCCCTAAAGAACTGCTGCAAAGAATATTTAATCTGTTTTGATGTATAAAAAATTCCTATATGCCATGGGAATAAGAATGACAGGCATTTATTACAGTATACATTAACAAGGGCATCAGATAAGGAAATCTATTTTGTATTGTACTGTAATTCAGATAGATTAAAACAGAACATAAATTGCAGTATAATAGACAGTATAATGATTTTGTATCATACATCTATCCATTTCACAAAAAAAACCTTAATTACTGAATGATTAGATCAAAAAGGAGCTTCCAGTTCTTTTTTAAAAATGCATCCATGAATGAGAATGATACAGAGTGAAAGATCCAATTTTGTTCTTAGATCTGCCTTAGCCAGAAATAGCTTCACTGAAGCCACTGCAGTTACTTTACTATGAAATTAATTTAATGGGGGATGGAGGGCAGCAAAAAAAAAAAAAAAAAAAAAAAAAAAAAAAANAAAAAAAAGTGGCTTTAACAGTCCACAGTGCAACTGCCTCTTGCTTTGGAACATTAGTAATAACAACCTTCTTTTATACATGTGATTTTTTTTTTTGTTTTACTACTGCCCTCATGGTATCTACTCACAGGCAAATTACCTCAAAACCTCTGTGAAACCTCAGATGTTGAAGCCTTCAGAACAAAGGCTGTGTTTGAACTGTCTGTAAGCCACTTGGCATTTTTCCCCCACAAGGGCATAAAGTGGCACTGAATCTATTTCAATTGAAAGATAATTAATAACAATTATTTTGTTGCTCAAGTGATTGAGCAATTTGTAATACAGACCACTTCATTTTTTTCTGAAGTTTTGGGAAAATATTTTGTATCAAATGTTGAAAACTCCTAATTACAAAAAATGTCATTTAAATTATTTAAAGGTTATTTTTTCCACAATGATTTTTTAAATTATTTTGGTGTTGCCTTTGCATTTTAAATTGTTCCATTTTTCAAAGAAAAATCAACATGCAGAAGATAATTTTAACCTATGTATCGTCTGCATTTTTTTTCTCTCTAACTAGGTAATTTTTTAATGAAAATTGTAAAAGGGAACAAGGTGTAGTATGGAAATTATTGTTTTTATCATGACCTTTGTTTTGAATACCTTAAAAATGCCTCGTACAGAGAGTCTTCTTTACACTACAAAAAATACAGTCCTTTATAGCCAATTTTTACCTGCATTATGTTCATCCATTGAAAAGGCTTTATTTTCCATGTAGCTCCGAGGAAGCTGTATATCTTCCTCAAAAGCGGTTTCACGCATCCTTGGCTGTGAAGTGTCAAAATAATTGGGTGTGTTTTCCTGCTGTGATGGAAGGATGGTACAGTGGACCTCTGGGATGGCATGAAAAATAACAAACACCCAGCCACTGGACACCAGTGCAATAGCCAGAGTGGGATCACTCCATTTGTCTCTTCTCTGGAGCTTGGCATTACCGAAGAGGTACATAGTCATCCAGGCTACCCAGATCAGAATGGAAAAGAAAAGGGTTATAATGAGGCATACTCCGTTCTTCTTCCATTTCTTAAACTTCCCACAGAGAGTGAAAAACGAAAATCCCATGGTAAATACCATCAGGAACATAACGTAAATGGAAGCCATCACAAAATCCATGGGCTCGTAGCTGCAGGCCAGCTTGTTATCTCTGACAATGGTCAGGATCAGCCACTCGGTTGCAATGATGACCTGCACCAGCATCAGGCAGGTGGCCACCCCGGCCAGGTGCCAGCCAGACGGGCTCTTCCCGTGGCGAACGAGTCTGCGAAGCCTCCAGGCTTGGGCTAGCAAGCAGGAGAAGCACAAAGCAAAGATAACTCCCCACAGGAACCTTCGGGTGGAGCACACCATTTCATCTTCCTGGATGATGAAAGCAAACGTCAGCCCAAACAGTCCCAGAGTCCCAAAGAGAAAGAGGAAGTGCATTCCCAGGGGGCTCTTCTTCTCTTTGTCCTTGATGAAGGGCAGCCTCACCAGCAAAATCAGCATCAGCAGTAAGGTGGTCAGCACACCCGCCCCCGCCACGGCCTCCAGAACGATCCCCCAGATGGCATCCAGGTCACACAGGTACACGTACTGCGGGAGCAGGTCCAGCCCGCACCCTCGAGGGGTGCTGGAGTTCTCTGAAGAGCCATAGCTGATCACCAAGAGGAGGAAGAAACCAATGGCTGGGTAGGTTTTCATTTTTCTGTCTGAGACAACAAAGTATTTGTTTAGCTAGAGCTGAGTTTGGAGGATTTCACAGCCACTGAAGCCCAGCTCGTTTCAGTAGCCCATGGTTACAGTTTTTGCACTGGATTTGCAGCTGGTACAGCCTCCCCCAGCCCCCTCCACTGCCCTCCCAAAAGCTGCTTTTGCCTGTTGTACTCAGAATGAAAAGTGACTCATTGCTCTGTTTGCACAGATTGAAAACAACATTTCCAAACTCTGACCCTGCAAATGGCCTACACCAGCCAGAAAAAATTATGTATCCTGTTGCAAATATTACATTATCTGCAACACTTGGACACTTACTACCTGTTTAAATGTAATACGCCATTCAAATCAAGGTTCTTAAAGCATGTTTAAGTGGCACTGGGCCTGATGCAGGTGTGAGCAATATCACAATTAGACTGTCCCACAGCCTTTGCTCCTTTTACTGAAACAAAGACAGAATCAAAACCACTTTTTAAATTACTACTTTTTAAAGGATACAGCAATCCAAGGAAAATAAACATTGTATATTGAAAAAAAAAAAAAGAAAAATATTGTTTTCATGCTTGGTCAGTAGGCAGTTATCATATTCATTTCTTTCATCCTCTTCCAAAGCCCAGATATTAGATTGCATTTGGAAATGGGAATGGTAGTCTAGAAAAATGCCATGTTCTGTGACAATGGTGCACAAATGCAGTGTCATCAATTAACTAATCAAAAATAAATGCCTCATTGTGCTTCTTAGCCAGTCCAAAGCCACTCAAAGGAAACAAATAACAAAAACCAGAGCATCCCTTTCTTGGATCCAGAGAGTGGACATGGCAAACTCTCCAGGAACCCAATACATCCCACTTGACCACTAGGACCACAAGCCTAGAGAAATCCCAACTTAGTTTCAGGAATAACATGGGTTAGGTGCTTTAAAAATACACATTATGGCATTTGCTTTCATTAAGCAAAACAGGGCAAAGGAGATTGTTAAAAAATGTAACCTTTAACTCCCAGTCTGCCTCAGCCACAGCCCAGTAAGGGCAGTCCAGAGTAAACACTGTGAGGAGCAGATCTGAAACCTGACTCTGTTAACCTTCACCAGCAGTCAGTGCTGCAGGTTCCAGCAGCATTCTCCTCACTGATGTGAGGCACTTTCAGGCTCCCCCTGGTACTGCATGACCACGAGGAAGGAAGGCACTAATGTTAGTCCATGTGAGCCACACAGCTCATGGGACATGTTCAGGATGCAAAGTGAAAAGCAGATAAACTATCAGGAGCTCTTTTGTAAGCCATTCAACAACCCTGAATACCTGTCCATAGAGATTTCACAGATTAGAACTGCTTTTAATGAAAACTTTAACAATTCAAAGTAGTGCTGCAATGTTGCATTGAGCACTATCAGTCATAACCAACACAAAAACTATTTACATAGACTGTCTGAAACTGTACTGTGTCTCTTAGAGATGAGAACTATGGATTTTCTCGTGCTTTACAGTCCTGTAATGACCAAAGTTAAATCCTGAGCATCAGAATCTTCAAACCAGTGTTGTGATCAATGGCCATTTTCAGCCTCTATCAGAGACAGATGATGAAGCTCAGGATGTTTCCTATCAGGGGCACCAAGACTGCAAACATGCCAATGTAAACCTGGAATGACTCCATGGTCTTCACTCCCACAGGGTACAAAACATCCCATTACAAACCTTCATCTCCGAAGTGGAAGCTGTGACAAATAATGTGATGTGGGCTTGGACAAACAGGAAATGGGTAATGGGCAATCTCTGCCAGCCCATAGATATTAATCTTTGCACTACTGGAAGGGCTGCAATGTTCTAATGATGCAATGACCTGCTAAGGACAAATTATTCGGTTTTTTCTACCTATCTGTAAGGTACTTTATGGTTGATTGGTAGAATATACACTTGTTTATATCTGATCTGTGTAACAGGTTATTCACAGACTCTGTTGCAACACCCATGTTAAAAACACTGACTTTACAGACAGTGAAATATATTAGTTTTTGTATTGAATATACGCTCAATAAACCTCCTTGCCCTTCAAGTACATAATTAACTAGACGAAAACATTCCAAAGTTAGTTCTCCAATTCCTTTTATGCACAGTCAATTCCTACTGCAACTAGTGAATTTCCTCTTTAGAGTATTTGAAACGTCCTGAAAAGTGTGAAATGGTCAGTGCCTGCTGACACACAAGGGGGAAACCCACTGGGATCTACTAAGGCAATGCCCCAGACCATTTCAAGAAGTAGGAGGTCATGTGGAAAATGATTCAGAATTCATTCTAAATGTCACCCAAACTAGAAACAATAAACAGCCCTAAAGTGAGGGTCATGTTAACTTTCCACTATCCCATCACTTACAAATTATGGCAAGCATGGACTAAATTGCTTCCAATGCTAGCTTTGTTTATTAGCTACTCTCCAACGACCTGGGGGGGAATTAATTAAGTGCAAGTATCCCCAGTTCTAGGATATTTTCCAGTTTTCTGGTTACTTTATTCATGTCATGTAACCCTCATGTGATTGAGCTATTCTAGGACAGTCTGTTTCCATGGAGATTGTGCTGCATGGGTAAGCAGTCATATTGTCAGGGCATCATTTGTTTCCTCTTCCTATTTGGAAGTGTTTGGGAGGGGGAAGGGAGGGTTAATGAATTTGAGTATTTCCCCCTCCATGAAGAAGTGGTTAGTTTTGGAAAAGGGGGATTAAGTTGTGACAAAATATATTCAGAATTTAAAATACATATTCTGAAATATAGAGGTGTTCAACTCAAGATTTCCCAAGTTACTTTCTACTTTTGGGAAAGCTGATGGGACATAATCTGTGGTCCTCTTAGAAAGGTCCCAGACAGCCACAGTACTGACCAAGAAAATCTCTAGGGCTGCTGACAGTTATTCCTGGTGAAACAACTTCCTACCCAATGTCAGTGAGTCTCACTAAACTCTAGATCCTGCCCAGACCAAAGCTGGCAAGCAGAGCTTGAAGTCTCCAAAGGAGGAATCTTTTCCTCCTAACTGCTATCAACAAAGCAGTTTGTTTCTAACCTGTTTACTATCAGTTTCTGCCTAATGGGGTAAAACCAGGCAATATTAATAATCTACCCCCGGAGACATTACCAGCCAAAAACATTTCCTCTTTCTAGTGCTGATAATCAGCAGTGAACACAGTTATAAAAACAAGGGAAAACACTGCATTACAAGCACACAAGTTTGGCAAGTGAATACCACACTTCATCTAAAATCACAGATTCTATCATTTTAAGGGGAAACTGTGAAGTTTATTTTTCAGAAAAGTTGTTTTTGCACAAAAACCAGAAATACATCATTATGAGGGTTTTATTAAAATAGCATCTTCCTCAAGCCTGTGCAGTGGGTAGGATGGCAGAATTCTGTGTCTCTTGAGATTTTATGGCAAAATTTTACTGCACATTCTCTCTGGCTGTTATTTAAATCAGTAACTGTAGAGGAAGAGTATTTTTACATTAGGTCTTACAAAAGTTATGCAACCTCACAGTAGTAACAATAGCGCTCTATTCGGCTGGCACTTCACTCCTGCTGCCAGAGAACTACAGTACCACAGGAGTGCCACCGAAACACTCCAGCACAGACACAACCCCTGCATACTCCAATGAACTGTGCACAGGGAACAAAAGTAACTTGAGATTTTTTTTTCCTCTCCCAGTTTCCTCTCCAAAATTTTATTTTGGTAAAGCCATTAAGGCAGCATACCTGAAACCAGAGCAATCAGGAACATTTACAATCAATATTCTAATCAATAAGCCTTACACATTTTGAACAAAAGAAGTGAACAATTAGCAGGGCAGCTTCAAATCCAGTACTCAATTTTTGGCTCAAAATTTGCTCTCAATGACAGCTGTAATAACTCCACTGTTTTCTACAGAGTGAGGTCCCCTTCATTACATTCCATTATCTGGCATAGAGTCACTACAGAAATTGCAGAGACAAAGCTGCCCCAGCGGGTACAAACTACAATTACAAGCAACTAAGCAGAAACAGAAAATCTCCTAGTTGTCATCAAAAAGTTGTCACAGTTAAAAATCAATGAGGCTTTCTGTAGCTAAAGTCTTCTGACCAAAGCTTACAAAGGGATCAAAAAGACACGGCTGTATGCTGCTGCAGAATATATACACAGAATAAATGTGTAATCATGCAAAGAGTTAAGGTTAGGCTATTCATGGTTAGATGCATTATCTGCTCCTGTACCTGCAGTTCAAATGTTAGTCAACTGACACAGGGAGATGCATTAAATGGCAGAGAAGAAAAAACAAGCTAGTAAATATAAGCAATAATAGCACAAATAGTCACCTGCTCTGCCACCCAAGCAGAAGACTGGTTCACTGTGTGATTTCCAAAAGAAAACCACCCCCGCCACGAATTGTTGTGGAGAGATGTGAGTGAGTGAGGAATTAATCACAACACAGGATCTCTGCCAGCTGCTTTTGATCAGAACTGAAGAATGAGCTCCAGGACTGATAACAGAGCAGCAACAGCCAAGTTGAGATCAGACTACTCAAGAGACGTGTATATTTCCAGAATAATAATTAATAGTGCAATTGTACTTTGCAGGCAAAAATACAGCAGTGATTTTGACAGCCTCTGCATCAGATACACATCATGCTCTGTTACAGCCTCGTGGTTACAGAAGGCAAGACCCCACTCCAAAAAGGATATGCAGAAAACGTATTGCTTTCATTTAGAAATACTTTGTGACGTTGAATACCCTATGAAATGATCTCTCTCGTTTTCTAGGAGCTGAATTCCCTGTGGTCAGATCTGTGTATCACGTGTGCCCAGGTACTTCTGACCATAGCGCCTGGTGTTGAATTCACAAGCGATAGCAATCAATTACAGTAATCAACGTTTTTATTTTCTTTGCTAATTCTCCGACTGTTTCTATTCATGTCAGAGCCTTCTAGCAGATGGCTACATCTGTCACTTGATTTCTCCTGATGTAGCGAGACAACACCTCAACCCCGATATTCCCTGCTGGTAAGCAGCAAGGGGATCCCCGTTAAACAGCTACTCGGTACTAGCGCTGATCACCGAGCTGGGTGTTTGGGTTCAGCACGCAGGAAATCCAGTTAGCCTTGGGATAAACATTAAGGGCAGGTGTAAACAAAGGGTTCACATAAGTGCTAAATCCTCTCTCTGCGTGGCTTTGCGGAGAGGTAACACAGAAACAGAGCTTTTATTAACTCGAGAGAAAACTGCTGCGCACTCGCACCCCGCCGGAGCTCCCGCCAGCCCCGGGACCGGACCGCGGCGGCCAGGGGCCAACAAAGGCTCCTTCCCTGTCACTGCCCCGGAGCTCCCGCTGGGGAATGCGATGAGGTGCCGGGCTCGGCTGCAGCTACCCCGCGTACGACCGCGGTGCGAGGCCAAGCGGCCCCTCCGTGCGGCCGGTGCGCGGCTGCCTCCGCTCCGCGCTCGCCTCGATCCGCCTGCAGCCTCCTCCTGCTGGACGATACCTATCTCGCTTCAGCCTCCGCTCTTTTGTCCCTTCGCTCATTTCTCTCTTCGGTTTCTTTTTGCCGTCTCTTCGTCCCCCGCCTGTCCCCGCTCTTCTTCCCCATCCTCTCTGAACTCCACTGCCCTCCTCGCCAGCCTTCCGCCCCGCTTCCCGCAGCGCAGCCCCCTGCTCCGAGCCCCCCCCCCGTCCTGCCCTATATCCCGTCTAATCCCCCCCAGGATTCCTATATCCAGCCTGTTGTCTGCTGGCGGCCACCGGAGCTAATTCTGCGGGCAGCGCAGGGCGCCGCGCCGGGTGCCCTGGCCCGCAGCCCTACCCCGGGCGTACCCCCGGAGCCGGCCCGGGGCCGCTGTCCCCCCGCCCCCGGCTCACCCGCTGTCTGCTGCGGCCGAGGGCGGCGGGGAGCTCTGTCCGCCAGCCCTCCGCAAGTCACATCCCGGCTCCGGCGGCGCGGCGGCTCCGCGGCGGGGAGCGAGCGCGGCGCCCGCGGCGGCTCATGGAGCGCTCGGCGCCGGTGCGCGCCCAGCGGAGCGGAGCGGAGCGGAGCGGAGCGGAGCGTGACCGCCGCGCCACGGCCCCGCGGCCAGCCCCCTCCCACCGCCCCGCCCCGCTCGGCACGGCTCGGCTCGGCACGGGCAACCGGGACAGGGACGGGGCGTCCCACAGCGCCGGAGCGCCCTGGCTGCGCGGAGCTGCCCGGCTCCAGGGCAGGGGCACGGTGGGGGCGCGGGCGCACACTCACACACACACACTGCTCACACACAAGTACACACACCCTGCTCACACATGCTGTTCACACATACACACTGCTCACATACACTCTGCTCACACACACCCACACGCACTGCTCACACACTCTGCTCACACACACACTCTCAAACACGCTACCACATCCTCCCAGTCCCGCTCTCCCCCTCCGCAGCCCGGCGCCCCGCGTGTGCAGAGGTGAGGAGCTTTTCAGCCCTCTGACAACGGGGGCTTTTTTATGTTCAAACCCTCTCTAGGTGTAGCTTCCGACCTGCCACAGCCGGCGACAACAGCTAAACAAACACTCAGAAGAGAAAACCTTGGGAGCGTGTGTAGGGTGCGAGCGACGCTCCACACGCAGGGTCAGCCCCTGCGAGCGCGGCAGGTCCTGCCAAGGTGCTGGGCCCTGCCCCTGTGTGCCTCCTACCCACGACGGGCAGCTGCTGCCCTGCTTCTCGGCTTCTCCACAGCTCAACCCTGAGACAGTCAGAACCCTTAGCCAGGGCTTCCCACAAACTCCAGGAGGAGTTATTTGTAGGAAGAAAAGACAGTTTCTGTATATGATGTGCATGAGCAGCAGAAATTCATGAGTCATTTCAACAGCTTAGAGTACATCTGCCTGACACGTCCATGACCGACAGCCTCAGCGTATTGTGCATCCCTGGGTTATGCACCTCTGCCTTCCTGGGTTATTCTTCTCCCAAAACCACTACCAACAGTCTGGGCAGGCACAGCTGACATGGCATCAGCAGCAGGGAGTACGTGGAATGTGTCCTTCCTGAACACCTGCCCTTCTTGCCAGGTTTCCGTATCCAGAGCCTTCCAAGGGGAAATATCTGCCCTGAAACGTGCGTTCTGCAGTGCAGCAGAACTGTAACCTTTAAAGAGACTCTTCCTAAAATGCGTGGGCTTATTTACCTGTCATTTATGATGCCTTGGAGGGTAACCTGAACTTCTCAGCGTGGTTGACAGGGAGTAAATTGGATGGTGGGGTTGGACTGTAATTGCCTGTGTTTAGGAAGGGCAGCAGGTGAAGAAAAGCTGAGGCCAAGGGACAATTTCACATTTCCACTCTGTTCTTTCTCAATTTCTCTATCTTGCTGCTTTCAGGTTTTAGGCACTGTTTTGTTGTTTTTTTTTTTTTTTTTTTTTTTTTTTTTTTTTTTTTTTTTTTTTTTTTTAATCACATGTTAACAGCATACCCTGCCCTCACATCAGTTGACAGCTACACTCCATTCAAAGTTAAGCAGGATAATTTTACAGAAACCGAAGTGGTGAGAGATGAAGTTGCTGTGAACTGCCCAAGGTCACCCAGCAGTCTGGCAGAAAAGTGGAAAATACTGGTTCAACAGATCAGTCTGTACCCCTGCTCCATCTTGGGAGCCTGAGCCAAGCACCCAAATACTACAGTACCAAGCAAAGACCTTTTTGTGTATAAATAAACACACAGAGTTCTCTGTGCCGTGCTGGATACAGAGAGGTAGACCAGGGGGAAGGATGAATCACAAGGATTCATGTGCGGTCGGTCTTGGCCGGCTCACAAGGGAGCAATGTGCTGAGCCCTTCAGCAAATGCAAATCTTGGGCATTGTTCCCTTCTTCCTGTGTCTCTAACACAGCCCTGGTTCCCTGAAGGAAACTGCCTCCCTCGTTTGCCTTGTACTGATAGAACAGGGAAGATAATGCCTCTCTCAACCATTGCTTGTGGGTCACTACTGAATAGGGCTGATTTCTTGCCTTCTGAAGCAGTTTTTAGTGTTAGCTACCATGAAAAAGTATAGGACAGGACTCCAAATCATCCAGGAAATTATAGGAGGGCTTGGTAGAATAGCTGGACTAAATCACAGCTCCTGTTGCATTACATTCCACCTAGTTAGCTTTGAAAAATATGCTCTTAAAATAGGCTTTTATTTAGGGGAAAAGTATTTCTACCAGTCAACCACAAACTCATCAGCACCTTCAGCATTTCCTCACCATGAGAGAGCAGGTAGAAGGGTGGAGTGGGTGCCGTGACCCAGGCAGACTGTGTGAATTCCCTGATCTCAGATGGTGCTCTCTACTCCTAGTTCCTGGGACCCTGCAGTGCCTGTAGCCAGTGACTGCTTGCATGTGATCAGTGCTTAGAGGAGGCTGGGGAAGGGGTGACGTGTGCAAGGCCAAAGCAGAGGCAAAATTTAGAGATCTCCACTTATATCATGCAATTCTGCAAGAGCTGATGGTTTAAAAAAAGGTGAGCTCGATGCTTTTGTTCATCTCTGGAATAGCAAAGAGCATGTACAGTATCTATTTGTTTTTATTTTAGGCTGAGTGTGCAACATAGTCAACTTTTGAAAACCCCACTGCTTTCAGTAATTTTACCCCTCCTATTTCCTATACAACACACATTGGGTCATTAAACCAATTTAGCTTTTAATTTTTAGCTTCCCCCCCCACCAATATTTGGTTTACTGCTTGTGACAATAGGTAAACAAAGAGTCTGTGTGGTGCTGCATGTTCCCAGAGTTTCTCTTCTGCAGCAGTGCTCCCAGCAGGATTTGACAGGAGGGAGCAAGGCTGCTAGAGCAGCGCTGAGTGGGCACCACTCTCCCACCCATGGATGCCAAATCCATATCCCCACAGACTGCCATCCTCATTTCAGCTGGTTTTCCCCAGTCCCAACCTGAGATAAAGGCAATTTCCATCCTCGGCTCTCCTTTAACCCTTCAGAAAGCCTGGCAGGTGTGTTTATTGCAGGAGCAGGCACACAAACAGTCGAGCAGTGTTTCACCACCAGCTTTCCTTTGTCCTGCAGAACCTTTTCACTGGGTACTCCGGTTTTGCAGCTCCTGCCAGCAGGGAGCTGTGCTTGTGCCAGTGCAATTTAAGTGGGCTATTTCATTAAGAGATCGGCAGCAGGCACATGGAAGTCTGCATTGCTTTGTTTGCACTGGGGAGCTGTAGAGGCCCAGGCACAGGCAGGCTGCAGGCACAGGGGGAAGCCAGCCCTCTGTAAATCACTGCAGATTGCCCCAGACAGGCTGAGTGCCTTCAGCATGGGGTGGCCAGGCTCTGCTATCTGCTCCTAGAGGCTGAGATGCTGCAATAATGAATATGACAGAAGAGAATAAGGAGATACCAGGTGAATTTGCCCCTGGCAGTGGTGTGTGGTTGATTCACACCATTTCTGAGCCCTGAGCAGAGGTGCTTTTCATTACACAAATCCCTGCAGCGTGATTAGTTTGCTTAATACATGCCCTGCTTTTTCTCAGGGCAGGATACAAATCCTGGTGCTCCCATTGGTTGGCAGCACCAAGGAGGCAGTGAGATTTGTGTGACCACCGTGAGATGGATTCTCTGTCACTGCAGAGGGTTTCACACCTCACTCCTGGCACTGCCCAGGGCAGAGTCTGCTCTCCACGGTGTTCTGTGAAACGGGTCTGAGTCACCAAGTGGGGCTAATGAAGGGAAAATGAAAAAGGAGAATCTTGAAATCACGATGGAGAAAAGGATGGGCATCAGGAAGGAGATGAATGCACGGGGGACAGAGAAAGAAAGAATTATTGAAACATTATGGAGAAACACAATCTGGAAAAACTATCCATGGCACAAAAGAAAGGTGCTCTCAGGAGGGAAAGTGTGTTGGATGTCACATCCACATTCAAATCCAAATTATCCCTGTTTTTTCAGCTTGGTTAAACAAACCAAGAGAAAGACACACTTTTATGACAGCACACCTACTGGTAATTCCTTTTCTGTTTGGTAATAAATACAACCTGTCCTGTGGTTCACCCATCACTTGTTTGGCCATACAGGGGAGGCTGTGAGTCTCCTCCATGTAACAGTCACAGCTCACACCAGGACAAGGGAGAAGCAATGCAGGTGAGATTTACAGTGCAGTCAATATGACATTTGTTTGTTTTCTCAACACATTCCTTTATCTCACTAGTAATGCACAAGTGCTTTCTTTAAACTGTAGAGAAACATGGACAAGTTTTATGATTTAATGCAGCTGGTAAGAGTTCAGTTAAAACAAAATTTGAGCCAGGATGGTCTATGACACCAGGCATAAGATTAAAGTTCTTGTGACTGGGAATTTGCACACCTTCAAATCTTCATTTCACAAGGAAAACCACCAGAGACAGGTATTTAAATCAGCATATTTCTGGTATAGTGAGTTATTGCTATAGCCTCTCTGAGGTTCTGCCCAGATAAATTTCAAACTGGCCAAAGCATTTGGATTTGAAAAGTTTATACTTGACCTTTGCACAGACAAAGTCCCAGTTGTAGTAAAATGAATTTGATCAAGCAAATGATTTGTGGCTTTCTGTTCTGAGCATGAGAAAACTTCCTTGTGTTGGGGAGATAGTGATGCTGGCCAAGAACAGCAACTTCTGCTGGAGAACCTTGAGCTTCCTTCTGGTGTGTATCTGTGCATGGTGCTGGGTGCAGTGAGGTTTGTTAGGGTGACTGCTGCACCTACAATGCACAGAGAGATTCTCTACATCCTGTTCACTCCTCAACATTAAAGATACCAGCCAGTGTAACTGTGCCACCCTTGACTGCACTTATGCTGCAAATGGGTTTGATTTATAAGTGCTTTTATTTACATCTGCTGGTTTCACACCTACGCTGAGGTGTAAAGGGTTTTTTCTGAATGCTGCTAAGAATGGTGCT